TCGAGTTAATAGTAGGCTAAAAAATGCCAAGTTGTGCGTATGGAACGGCTTCGATGACATGGTTAACATCAAATGTACTCTGACGATCTGTATGATGTGATATGATCATGTTCTCTTTTAGCAAGCATGGTGGTTCCGGCTACACACGGACATCGAATCAATGAGTCAGTCTGGGCTTTAAATAAGGTGACACTAAGATTGGGCGCGGTTCTTCAACCGCGCTTAAATACACGCCCTCTGTATTTAGGTTGAGGCCAGTCATATAAGTGCGGGAGGGGGCTGTCAGTTGTAAGGACCTTTCTGAGTTAACTTCTGCTACACACGCTCACATCGGCAAGAGTCATGTCCACAGTTACTTGCAAGGTGTTGGACTCAACCAACAGGGGGGTGGAGTGTGTCCAGGCAATCATCACTTGCAAGTATAACAGCTTCATCATCGCGAGATATCACGCTATCTCTGATCACCTGGGCGACATTGGCGATTGGTTTCCTCTCAACCCGACCCACTGGGCGATACCGCAATCGATGCCTCTAGCGCCATGCACGTCTGTGTGCTTGACCTTTCTCCTCCCTTTTGAAAAATGGAGCTCTATTCAAGTCGATGTGGATATTACCAACGGCGAGTCGCCCCACATCGTGCTGTACCTCCGGGGTGATAGCTATCATTTGGAGTGTACCAGCTCCACCGCAGACTTTGACGATCACATGACCAGCGATGGTGAGATTTGCTCTACACCAGAATGCCGCGACGCGACTATCAGCACTTTCGACATTCGGCACAGTCCTTGCAAACGGTCACGAACGATGGCGGAGATGGACTGAGGGAAAAAAACGAACCAAGACTTAATCACACCGATGTTTCGCTTTGCAGTGTCTCGCATTAGCCCATTCTATCAATATATCGCCTCAGCGCTTGTTCTCCCTCGTGACTGATGGTGCGCGTTCTGTAGTGGTATGTTGGTCCTGGTCGACCGTAGAAAGATGGTGTGCTGGTGATCTCCATGATTGGCCGTGGGTGGGGGCTCTTCTTTTAGCGTACCGTGCACTCGGTACGGACCGTAAGACCAAGCAACCAACACGTGGATTCGTCGGGGAAAATATAGTAGATCCTATTGGCCGACCATCACACCACTATCAGAGATATCACACAAACTAAGACAACGAAGACTGCCAAACCAACAGCAACAAGCGCCATACAATATCCTATTGGCTGGATCTACAGAAATTCTAACCCTCGATGCACTGCAGGCAAAGGTCCTAGCACGCTCCCGGAACGAGCGACGCTTTTCAAATACCATTCCTTTCCAAGTAAGTCTTCCGATGTGGCGCTATGGAACGCTGACGATCGGAGCCCTTCTGGCAGCCCTTTCTGGAGTGTGATGAGTGATGCTAGGCAACAATGTAACTCTGCTGATTCCTGAGCGACATGCCGGACTCGCCGAGGTGCCTCAGCGTTAGCTACGTCTAGGATCACGAGATTTCCGTGCTTGAAAACCCATTGCAGGGCGCACAAAGCCTCCCGTCTTGTTTTCAGTTGCGATGATAGCCATGCAAAGCTAGCTTTCTCGATATATGCAAAGAAATTCTTCCCGTAATCAACGAAAAAGGAGCTGTTGTACGCGTTCCCAATGACGCCGTGTGGGTTGCCAGACCCACTCGTTGCTGAAGTGTTGTAGTAGGTCATGTGGCTCGCGCACCATCCGCCAACAAAGCACTGCATTCCTTTGCTATATGTGTTGTTCAAGAATCGCAGAAGGCTTGGTGTGCCGCTATAATGGCGACCCAAAAACAGTCGAACAGCCTGCAGTCGCTTCCCGACCCTCACGTGCCCGTAAAGTGCACAGGGATCGTGACGATACCCTAACCGCGCTGCACGACGGCCACTGATCGGCACCACGCGCACTTCTCTATTCGCATTCATGCTTATGCGGACACTGTCGGCGGGTGTGATCGCCCGACACTTGGCGAATGCTGTCGTAATCTGATGGAGTTTGCGTCCGAGAACGGCAATAGCGTCTTCCGAATGCAAATGCTGCACCCAACTGCAGATGGCTTGCAGAGGTGCGGCATCCATCTCCACACTACTCCCAGCCTCAAGCGCTAAAGCAATTGAATCGCCCTGTGTCTCCCAGATAACGCCACAATGAGTGAGAGCCTTGACCATATCGTGGAGACACTCTCTATATCCTGGCACGTAGAAATCCCACTGCGACTGACGGGACATTGTTGGGAAGAAATACTGAAAGGCTCGAGGACCAACGAGAACAGAGCCAGTATCAAACAAGACGGAGACAAGAGTAAGAGGGTTCGCAAAGGACGAGCTGAAATACCTTACAGGGCATATTCTAGAGTCGTAGCATGCTTGGACATCGGCGACGTCTGAAAAGGTTCTAGCGAATGATGTGACTTCGGAGAGGTCAAGTCGATCGACTGCGCTCTGCAAAACGTTGATTGATGACATGGTGTGATTTGGTGGATTTTTTTAGGCCTAGCAGGACGTGAAGCGTAGTAATTGGATATTTATGTAGCACTGACGCTTGTAAATAGAGACATGAGGTGCCTTGAAGACGGCTGCTATGTGTGCTCGTAAATAACACAGCGCTCTAGATCCGAGCCTATAACAAGTGTCAGAGCTCGTATATTGATTCCCTGGCACCCACTCTGGGTTTCTCCCACGTGCAATCGCACGCGCAATCACACCCACAATCATCCCCACGCTATACGCGCCCTAGAAAGATGCCCCTCGACTCACCTCCAACAGGACACCCCCTGGATGAAGACCAGCGTCTAGTTATGGGCGCTAAGGAGATACCTGACGACACCTTCGCAGACGAGGTCACCTGCTTTTGTCAGCATAGGTGTGAAGCCGAAGTTTGTTATCCAATGTCAGCAGACATTCACGCACAGCAGCACTTCTTCTGTGGTATCCAAGGTACCTTTGCACTTTGCTGTGGGTGTCCAGCCCTAGAGAACGACTGCCAGGAGGAACACGATGTGGAGGAGCCAACAGAGAACAATGATGTGTCTACGATTTTGAACGTGGACGAACAGTCTCAGATAGAGGAATGGACTGCTGCAGTCCTCCAGGCTGTGCCTGCATCCTATCTTCAAGGGGACGAAGATCAACTGTGGGAGGAGGGAATTGATGTCCAGATGCCTTGGCGCTGGTTGGAACCAAATTTTTCACAGTAGCTTAGACTTTGCACAATACCGGTTTATAGATTCTTTACGCGTCGTTATATCCAGAACAATACTTGAGTTGGCTTGCTTCCCGCACATAGTCCGCTCTTTCTCATGTCCGTTGCTCCTCTCCATAGATCGATCTATCACGTGCCAGCATGCAGTATATAAAGCAGCTATCCTCCACTTGTTCCCAAAATCTCCAACCATTTCGTTCCCTTACTCAAAGACCGACCACCCGATGTGCTCCTTGTCAGCAGGAAGTATGTCTCATCTGTATCAAGTCTATGATTACCTGTCTCGGCTTCAAGACGACTGCGAGGTTAGTGTCCTCGCGTCTTAGGTGGACTGTGGTTAACGACGAAAGGCACGATACACTAAAGCTGTGACAGAGCAGGCTCAGCTCTTTTGGCAGCTGGATGCAGTGCAAGTGCCAGCTTTGGCCCAAGACCTTCATGACGCTCGACGACTTGTGCAAGAGACCAAGTGCATCTTCAGCTGGAGTCCCAGCCGAGTGAGTTACTCACAGCTGCCCTCGCAGTTCCACTCAGCTCTGAGGACAATTTCGAAGCTTGACAAATCGAACCAAGAGGAGCATTTTGAAGAGGTGGGACTGCTTATACAGTGCTATTTTTTCCCAGGCCCTTGGCTATACAACATGAAGTACTCCATTCCAGAGAACCTCGAGGATCTTACTTTTATGTATGAATGGTTGCCTACCGAGGGATCATTCTCCGATCTCGATATCGACGCACAATCATTCTGGGTAGCCTATTTGGCGGACGAGGGCATTATCTACAAGCCATAGATTTTGGTAGATGGATAGGAAGACAAGGACAAAATATCATTCTATAGTCTGAAGCAAGGAAAAATCTAAAGCTAATAGTCCATTTCCAATCACTGGCTCGGGGTCGCTCTGAATACTATCTCCATTCCTGGTGGTGCTATTTCCTGAAGTTGGCTCAAAAACTGTTCATACTCCTTTGTGATCTGTCTCGTTGGGGTATGTTTGGATGAGGTAGAAGTTGAAAGAGAAGACGAACCGGTACCTGGACTAGGAGATTCGCTCTTTGGTTGAAGTGTGGGGGTTGAACTTGATGGGCTCCGCGAACTCGCTTCTGCTGATAGCTGTCTTGCTCTGAGGATTGAGTAATTTTCTTGGGCATCCTGGTTCGATTGCGCTGTCCCCTTTCTTAACATCTTAGCCGAAAGAAGGGGTCCTTGGCCATTAAGCTCCATGTGGCTGATCATTAATGCCTCTGCCGTTGGGCCCCAGATAGTCTTCAAAGTCGTCTTCGTGAATATCAGGGGCTTTCGACGCTCCTCCCCTGCCTTAAAAGCCAACACAATCGTCCTAGTTGATGACTGAGCCACTAGGTCAATCTTTAGATGTTCTCCTAGGACGGTTCCCTGATCCCAGGACGCTGGGAGTTCGTTCGGAATTACGGCATTGTGATATTTGCAGAAAGCATTTTTCTCGATTGGGTGATCCGCAGCGGAGAGTAAGTATCCACGCCTTTGTTCATCTTTCTCTAGCAACTCACTGACCAACATTTGGCCTGAGGCTATAATACACTCGATGACACCCCGGCCAGGTGTATTGCCAATTCTCCTGGAGGCCGGAATTGTAATCTCGGCCCACCAGGGAATCGGCTCGCCTCGGCTGTACCTATCGGAAGTTATTCGGATATCAACATTCACCGGGGTTCCACCATTATCATCCTGCTCGATAGAAGGTTGGGGTTTACCCTGTCTATCCGAGCCTCGCTGTGGGATTTGATTTAGAACCCCTGTTGAATCTTCTTCCCTTGGCTCGGGTTTCACACTGATTCCAGTGCCAGTGCCAGCGCCAGTGACACTGTCTTTGTAGGTGCCAGTGCCAGTGCCTGTATTGGTGCTAGCGCCAGTGCCAGTGCCAGCGCCAGTGCCAGCGCCAGTGACACTGTCTTTGTTGGTGCCAGTGCCTGTATTGGTGCCAGCGCCAGTGCCAGCGCCAGTGACACTGTCTTTGTAGGTGCCAGCGCCAGTGCCAGTGCCAGTGCCAGTGCCTGTATTGGTGCTAGCGCCAGTGCCAGTGCCAGCGCCAGTGCCAGTGCCAGCGCCAGCGCCAGTGCCAGTGCCAGCGCCAGCGCCAGTGCCAGCGCCAGTGACACTGTCTTTGTTGGTGCCAGTGCCTGTATTGGTGCCAGCGCCAGTGCCAGCGCCAGTGACACTGTCTTTGTAGGTGCCAGCGCCAGTGCCAGTGCCAGTGCCAGTGCCTGTATTGGTGCTAGCGCCAGTGCCAGTGCCAGCGCCAGTGCCAGTGCCAGTGCCAGCGCCAGTGCCAGTGCCAGCGCCAGCGCCAGTGCCAGCGCCAGTGACACTGTCTTTGTTGGTGCCAGTGCCTGTATTGGTGCCAGCGCCAGTGCCAGTGCCAGTGCCAGCTGGCGCAGGTGTTGGCGCAGGTGTTGGCGCAGGTGGTACTTCTGGCACAGGTGCTGGCGCAGGTGCTGGCGCAGGTGCTGGCGCAGGTGGTTCTTCTGGCACAGGTGCTGGCGCAGGTGCTGGCGCAGGTGCTGGCGCAGGTGGTTCTTCTGGCGCAGGTGCTGGCACAGGTTTCTGGTTACCGTAAACGTAATGTTCCGGCTCGATCCATTTCTGATTCTGCTGAATATCTCGAATCCATGCTTCCTGTACAATCACAAGTCCCCGTTCCACGGCTGCAAGCCAGGTCTGGGGAGGTCCGTTACTCCGAGCTCTCTTTCCAGTTTCAGTGGTTTCAACTTGCTCAACATGTTGTATTGTTTCGTTGCTCGCCAGCAATAGAGTAGCTGTGGAGATACTCTTCGCGAATTCGACGCGATCTTTATATGGCTTGAGTAGATCTTTGATACTTCCGTGGGTCAGGCCCTCGAAAGTGCCAAGGATTGTGCATGCAATCGGAGCCATCTCGGTGATATAGAACACTGCGGGCTTATTACTCAGAGTTAAACATCTCGGACAAGGTAAGCTACATAGAACTATATATACGATAGGCATGCTTTAAATACAGCTGGCGGGCCCCTTATTTAAACATATCAGCATCTAAACTGATGTTCAACGTCTTCTAGTTCAAACCCTCTGGATAGTTCCTAATCTAGAACAGGTCCTTGACTGAAGTCATCTAGGAAAGGGAGACTTTTACATACCCGAAGCAGAAAACGCCAAGCTACCAGGGTTATTAAGTCACTATGATGTTATAAGACTTAGCGCAGACGATTCTGTAGATAGATAGAAAGCTAGGTAAAGACTGACTATGAAAGGCCGCCGCTCATGCGGTTCGCGTAATGATGCTTAATACTAGGCAGCATCATCGTGATCGCGCTGATGCAATCTCCTTAATCTCGTAGAGCTCTTCGCACTAGGCAACACCATCCGCGGTCGGAACTCTGTCTCACGAAACACAATAAGCTTCCCATCCCAACTGTTGACGATAGATTCACGTATGTTAGCTGTGAAGTCGGGCGGCCCACATGCTTTTTTCGTGTTAGTGAATGAATGGAGACGTAGTCTCGCTGTGAAGACAGGCACATACTTGCAACAACCATGTGACCCTGAGACTTCCTCCGTTCTTCTAAGATCTTCGACGTAATGAGATGATCGAAGGAATGCTTTAATTCTGAAGGCTCGACACACCACCAGAAGTTCGAGGGATTGAAAGGCGGCGGACCCTGTCGCTTGCCAGGGTATCCGCACCAAAACACAAGAAGTTGCTATATATCATCAGCAGATTATTTCTCGAGCTTCGTTGCATATAGCGCACATTCTCTGGATCCAATCGCTGAAGAGCCCTCAACTCATCACGGACGATATCCATTTGCATGTTGTCTTCCATGGACCAGAATATGTCGATCTTCTTCGTCGCGTCCCGGAATAATTGCTGCTTCAATAATGTTCCTTTCCTTTGCTGCAACTCCAATCGCTCTTGTTCACTTTGCTCAGATCTTGTTGCCCTCTGAAAATTAATAAGCTGTGAGGTTATGGACTGCAGCTCATTTTTCACGTTATCGTCGTGTTTCCTTCTTTCCGCGAGCTCAAGAGCCAGCGGCAGGATTGCGGCCAAACCCACGCCCTTGGCTGTCAGAATCACATTTTCGTAGGCACCTAGCTTCAAGTCTTTGCCAAATGGGCCCTCCAGAAATATCCGTTGCCCCCTTTGCAGCCTTGCAAGCGCTCCGCTATGGCTACCTCGGCGGGAGAGGAGGAACGACACACTCGACATCCGCCGAGATGGATGAACTTCATCTGGCATGTGCCAGAATGCGATGGCCGAGTAGCTATGCAGTAACGCATAAGGGAGAAATGAGCCCGGAAAGAAAATCTGGAAATACTTGCCAGGTATAATTTTGATAGGCTTTCTGAGCACCACTTCTATACGCATTAGGTCTGTGTTGCCGGAGATCTCGACGATCTCTGCGGAGAGTCGCCTGCACAGAAGGCGGTAGAGACGATACAAAGCGAATGTACACCAGGCCACGATACAGATACCCGCAATCACCCAGGCACGCACCTGTGTTTGCATCAAGGAGTGCCAAAAGAGTGCGGCAAGGCCTGAGAGGGTCAAGAACCGATGACTGAGGAGGAACCACCGTCCAAGCCAGAACCGCGCGACGCCTAATGAGAGAAGAAGGCTTACGGTCGCAGTGGAAGCTGTCTGGTTGAGTATTAGCAATAATTCTGGGCATGAGCATCAGCATGAATCATACCACCCAACCTGAAGTTACAAGGAGCCCGGTCCTCGGCTTCAGACTTATAACAACAATAGCGTGCACCAAGCCATCGATGACTGCCACCCTGCCAATCCAGTGGTGTATAAGATGGTAAGTGCTTCGGTGGATGTTAAAAGCTTCGATCACCGGTCCAATGCGCCCACCCAGACACAATGGCACCGTGTTGATCGCGGCTGCATACGCAGCTCTCCTTTCCACTGTGCGCCAGTCTAGCTGAGTGAAGGGTGAGAAGATCATCAGCATGTTGATAACGACGAAGACGAGGATACAGAAGGCATCGAGTCGAGTCATACTGTCGCAGAACTTGCCGCGGTTGATAAGGAGCGGATAATGGAAGTGTCTTGCGACTTTGCTGCGAAAGTTGGGTATGAGAAGGTTCAATATCCACAACGTAAATGCAGTTCCGAAGATGCCGCCAAAGGCGATGAGGTACCACCAAGTGCTGTCCATTGCGGCCGGCCATATACTTGCTTTACACTGTGTCTCTTGATTCATAGGGGCGAATGGCTTTGATAAGGCTTCGGCTAACATGGCGAGGTATCTAAACAGAGCACATCGTCTATTCAAGGATAGCGTTTAAAATCCATCAAACCTGTGGCTCCCTGTGCCGCCGTGTGGGGCCAGTTACCGTGCTAATGGAAGCGCGCGCTTGTCGATCGCGCGTAGTCCATCCTATGCAATATCTGATCCGAACCACGGCGGTTACGGGAGGTTTAAAAGCTCAGAGAAGTCTTTGGTATATCCTCTTTCCTCAATAACTCAAAGCTCCTTTGTTCCTTATTTCCTTGAGTACTATTTTTCATTTGTGGTAGCGGAATCTCTCATTCGTTTATTCTCCTCTGTCGAACGCTATGGCTCCTCGTCTTCGTAGCGAGAAAAACAAAAGGATCTCTCAAGGAATTAGAAACCGTGTAAGGGGCGTTTGCAAGAAAGCGCAGACTTTCAATCGTCTTTTTGGCGGTGACGCTTTAGTCATCGTCCGTGCCAGTGGAGGCGCGTTCACATACTATCAATCACGCCCCGAGCTCTTCGACATGATCAAGGAACAAAGCTTGCGGGACCTTCAACAAGTCGATCTCAGTTTCGACGGACATTCATCACCTTTGAATGCCGATTCATCTTCGGATCTTTGTCCCAGCCCTTTGGGATCCGGGGGCTCGGTTTCTTCACGGGACGGCGATGCGACCCCCGCTCCTAACTCAACCAAGCCCGTCGGCCAGATTCGCCGGCCGCCTCCGCCACGAGCCCAAACCAGAGTATCGAAGCCCCGTCTATCATTTGCACAGAGGAAGTCCATTATGGATATCTTGGCGAAGTACTAGTTAAAATGTATCAATATACACTTGAATGCTCTCCACCAGGCTCAGGAGGTCTTCAACGGCCGTCCACTTCCTTCGTGCCCGTCCAGCCGCATTGGCTTGTCTATACGATCTCCAACCAAATGCCGAGTGCAAGCCTTGATCACAAAATAGTTCCGCAACCGTATAAGGGCACCTACTGATGTTATAATTCCGCCCGTCTGCATCTTCAAGACGAATATCCAGGACCGAATCGCAAGACTTGACTTCTAAAGAAAGATTCATAGAAAACGCCCCACCTCTTAGAACTGCCTGGAGGCTTTGTTCCGTAACAAGAAATTGATGATGTTGCTGAAAATCGTCTGCAATAAACAAGCATAGTCTCTCTCGATATGCCTTCGATATCAGACCTTGAAGCGTTGGACTAGGCGGGAGCCGACAGCATAACGTCACTTGAAGTACCTGGGTTTGCTCATAAAGCTCGGGAACGGTGCGAAGCTCGATGAAGAAAAGGGAGGCTACTATGAGCCCCCATTTCGGTTGCGGAGCGACTTGAGTCGAGCTTTTCGTGCTCCCTGCGGTGATGGAGATATCTGCCTTTTGCCTACGCCTTGATGAGCACGTGTAGTTCGCCCACTGCCAGAGACTCACTTCTTGATGCTGGGCATACGAAATGTCCTCCCCTCCGCATCGTATTCACACCCTGAACGTTGGAATGGACGACTGAACCGCCAACAAAGCCCCTTGCCAAACTTAATCTTGGTCTTACCCCATTTAATGTCACGAATAGCACTCAGGTGATATCGACAATCGTCGAAAGCCCAGGTCTCGGCAAATATCCCGATTGCAAAGAAAACGCCTACTGCTCGTTAGCTCGGGTTGTAGTTTTAGAAACGAGCCTACCTTGGCCTACCCCATCTGCGGCATCAAAAAGTTCATGGAGCGATACGAAACATGAAGGTAAGCAGCGGCGGATGAGCCTTAGCTCCTCAAGTGTCTCGTGCATGCCTCTACCTTCGACGATATGGATATATCTCACACCCGCCGTGGGAGGGAGCGCCGGCACATATGTTGACGTTGCCCGGTTGCACAGTGGACAACATGAAACCATCGTGGGCCACAATGGGTCTACTCCGGCTTCCCGGAGAATACAAGAGTCACAAAAGCAATGTCTACACTTGAGATTATAGACAGCGTGTTCTAAGATGCAGAATGAGCAATTTAAGCCGTCGCGCGAATTGACAAGTTGTGTCTTTTTGACCAGGTCCCTGTGAGTCTGTACTGGTGACGTGGTTGTGTTCGCGATTTCAACGAAGGCAGCGCCGATCCGCTGGTGTACACCGTGGACGCACAGAGCCGACTCAACGCTCTGCAATGTTTCCTTGTAGAGTGCCAAAAATGTTTCCCTTGGTGGGAAAACTACTTCTTGTCAGCTTCCACGATCCATTGCAGTGCAAATACAAGGTACATACAATGCATCTCCACAGGGTAGGCATCTAAGACCAGAGCTGAGGCGATCGTTCGAACGGAGTCATCTCCGAGACCAGAGCTTTGAAGAAAGGATCGAATATTTTGATGCATATTTTCTGGAAGCGCATAATGTGTTCGTGAAGCTTTGATAAAGTTGAATGGTCGAGGTGGACCAGTTGTAAAATCATGGATCGCTGTTCGCAGAAGCGACTTATACTGTGGCACAGTAAAGCCAGTGCTGCCATGATCTGCGGATGC